CGTCCACGTCTACACGGAGAATCTCCTTGGTCTTGCGTACGGACACATAGTGCCACTGCTCATCAGCGGCTGAAGCCAACTCCAGAGAAACCTGAAAAACGGAGTTGCGAAAGCTTCTTACCTTCTGACTGCGGGCTATCATTACTTCAATCAGCCTTATAAACCACAACTTCATCTTATTTAGGGCCAACCTTATCGTCGCCAGCCATTCGCCACCAAAACACCGTCTTCAATCTTCAACGCCAGTAAGTCATCCTCATCCGACTGTATAGTCAACAGTGTGCCAGAAGAGCGACGAGTTTTGAAGCGTAGCGATACATCCATTTCATCCGCAACTGTGATGTTCTCGAATACTGCCGTGGATCGATCAGATAGAATTGATACCTGGAATCGGTAACTCTATTAAAAAATGGGAGCATGGGAGCAATACAAGAGAAGCCCTTCCTCCTAAAACCCGAACCTTATGACCATATTCGCTAGCCTCCCAGAGGGAGGGGCAGTCTACAATGATCTCAGAAGACATAGCGAAAGGCCCGACTGCCAGTGTTTCTTCTAAGACCAGCGCAGACTGAGGAACACACAATGGCAGTCGGACCTGTCTTTGTGTCACCTTCGTTGGTCCGCCTCTCACTCTACTCTCTCAGAAAGATGAGTGTTGCACCAGTGAAGAGATAAGAGCGGCTTGGCGTCTCCTACCACATAGCAGGTGTAAACTGTGCCCTTCACCCAAGCCTCCTGATTGCTGAAGGTGGGCGATTGTTGCCGCCGTCATTGGGAGGAAGGGCTGCGAAAAGGCGTTTCGGCTATCCCCCACAACCAGTTGGACAGTTAGACCAAACGACCTTCCTAAGCCCTTCCACCATAAAGCTGACAACGGCGACCCTTCTTCAACAATTGTGCCCACCATTAACAGTCTGCATGAGTGGTTTAAGCAGATCCATGCTACACTCCTCTGTGTTACCTGTTTCCCACAGCAACACAGTTACGTCAATGTTCTGCCTAATTCAATAATTAACCAACCGTGTTCACAGTGCCAAGAGGGCATGCGTTCCTCACGCCTTTACTGGCGTAACTTGCATACAAATCCATTTCATCGGAGCCCAGACGAACCGACTTGATGCAGCCACGGAATGGTTCGATAGGAGAGCGGCTGAAAAAGATCTTTCAGCAGAAATATCGCTATCGGGACCGAATTCTGAGACTTTATAAGATAAAAACTCACGTATTGACACCAGCCGGTGTTCCTCCAAGGTACAAGTAGTCAGTGACGCTCAGCGTAGACATTCTCACCTGGAGCGTCGCCCTCAGCAACCTGCAACTCTTGCGTTTAAACTACTTGAATAATGTGTTGAATGAATTTCAGACCCCTCACAGTTATGACCCCTGCAAACGACAGAGGGTGGGATGGGCCCGGTTTTAAGGTGCAGCCAGAGCAGACTTTCCTTTCAACTGTAGTTGGCTCAACATGGCACCATTGATGGAAAAGACCGCCCAGCTGCGTTCCAGTCCACGCCCCGTCCGTCACACGTAATATTAATACGCAGGGGTCATGGCTGTAGACGGACAGCCAAGAAGGTCAGATCGGTGCAGCTGACGAAAGAAGTGCCAAGCCATCGGAACCACATCTTTCTCCAGGGAAATCTGTCTAGAAGTTTATTCCATGCTGGGGCGAAGTCAGGCCCTCTTGTAACCAGAGTGCCTTCTCTCCCCGCTCATAGCGGTCATAGTTGGGAGGAGCACCCTAATGAAGAGGGCACAATGTTAGGCATAGCTCCACCCAAACAACCAACGTGGATCATGCCTTTCATAACTTTATCCACTGAGAAAGTATCGATTTTGCGACATCCTGTGAGCCGCTCTAGTTTCCTTGTTTCAGAGCAGTACCCCAAAGAAGTGTTCAAAAAGCAGTTATCGTAGTGAAATCCCACCGTAACTCCGTCAACCTCCATCTTCACATGTCGCTCATCTCTAGCCACCATTACCGTATGCCATTGTCCATCGTTGTATGTAGTGGTATCGGCAAGCCATTGTGCTGCACCGGATCCGAAGTCCAGTGACAACTTCACATTTCCAGCGATAACTCCAAGGCAAAGAAGTCACGCTGAAAAGCGCTTACTTCAGTGGGCTAAAATTCGATTTTAATCGATGTTTACTTACATCTTTTCCTATGAAGAATAGCAAGCCGTCTGGTGAGAAGGTGAGGAACGACAAGGAGAACACCGCGCGTTTACGAGGATTCCAGTATCCCATTTGGTACACGATATAGCCATCACCATTCAGAGATACTCCTAAAACAAGCAGTAACTCTTTTATTTGCTGAAAGTTCGGTTAGGCGTTCGATCTATCAGTACCTGGCTGTGCAGAGGGTTCCTTGGTGCGCGGACGAGGCTCTGCTCCACGAACTCTCACTGCACCACCGCTCTTCGCATTCCACAGTCCGACTGGTTCACCGTGCAGGGTCAAATCTTCAATATCTCCTTCGAAGGCACGATTACGTACTTCGCTGGCAATCTGGAATCAGTGATTCTACTCGAAAGTCGATTTATGACAACTACTTTAGTTCAGGTAATCAATAACAAGTATATCTTTTACCCTACTGCCGGCCGGTATTCCTCCAACAAACAGGCGGCTCATCGTCTGATGTAGATTGAGAATACTCTTGTTGCCCTCAGCCGTACCTTTTTGCTATCTCTTCCCCCCTCCCCTTTCCACCTGCGACAACTCATTGCTACAGATTTTTTAGGACTCCCCAAAAAATCAAACCACAAAAGAATTAGAAAAAAAGAAATTGAGTTCTAAACCTACTTCATCGCTGTTCGGCTTGTAGAGTTTCACCGTTGCCGTTCTACCGATACGTTCAATGCTCAGTTGACGCCATTGATTGTCGTTGACGCGCCTGAAAATATTTTCGAACTTTTTGACTCATCTTTCCATTGTCTATTTCAGAAAGTAAGGACATAAAAGATGCTGAGAAAAGGAGAACTCAAAGTCAAAACAGTCGGGTCAAACCCTAGAAATACCTGATTGAATCCAAAAATAGTTCACTAAAAGTCAAGCCTCTCTTGAGGCCCTTGGAGATGGCTGTGCTTTCTATTAATGAATTTGCACACCGCTTCTACTTGCCCGGATTCAAAACAATCGCAAAGAGCTGCTTTCTGACCCATTTTGGCTTTTCTGTCCTTCATAAACTGAATCGGGTAGAATCCAAAGCAACCTGATTGATATTGTCTTACTGGTTATGCCCATCCTCAGGCCCATTGTCAATTAGGGTAGGGCGATTCGGCGGAACAGGGTACAGCATCATTGGCGGAACCACATAGGGAGCGGGGTCGTACTTGCGCCGTTGGGACGAGGGCAAGAGAGTAAATTTCGCGTCAGTTATTGAGCAGGAGGTGGGGTCTTATTGCTCCTCTGGAGAAGCTTGCCGAGTTGGGGGAAAATTTTTTCGTTTGCTGACTTTTCTCTGTTTTTTCCGCTTCACATTGGCTATATATACCCACCTGCTCGACAGCAAAGTTTCCTACATCTCGAAATCAGGGCACATCATTAAGTTGCAGGAATCCCCCCATAGGTGGGGGGGTCGTAATGAGTGCGGCTAGCCAGTATCGAGCAGCGCCAAAGGTGCTGACTGCAGTCCAGAGTAGCGGAAACTCGTCGCTTTTGTAGGAAAAAACTCGGATATGTAAAAAAATAGTAGAAAACTTTCAACCATCAATTAATCCGAAATAACTGAAAATTAATAAGTCGACATCATCTCGTAAGTCCGTTGATGACTGAACAGTACAACTCATACTCTGGTTCGTTGCGGATGATGGGGCGTGTCCGCGATTACGCTTGGCGCTGAGCCAACCTCTTTTTTCAACAAACGACAGGACTACCATATCGTTCGTACCAGACGTTTTCCAGCAGTTGGTCTCCTTTATCGGAGACAGCAATTGGCGGAGCACACATCTGGCGGCGTCGACAACGCTCCATCATCCGCAAGGGAAAACAGTGTAAACAAGTGCACAGGTTTGCCACAGATCTCCCTGAATTTGCTCGCGTGGACAGACATTACGCACAAATTGCACCTATCCCTTCACCTCTGCGCGGACCTCAGTGCGCGGCGCATCCAAAGTCAGCGTGATCGGCGCTAAACGAACCATATTCTGCTCCTGCTCCACCAGAGGATACGTTTTTCATGCATTCCTGGTTATTCGAACACGCTCACTTGAAACGGTACACAGGAAACGGGTTTTTCGCGCAGCTGGGAGTGTTCCTCGAAGACAATCCCCATTAGCCGAAGATTCTCAGTTATTCCCGCATGAACTTCAGAAACAGCTCAAGAGGTTTTTAGAAAGAGAAAATCTTTAAACACTCGAAACCGTTCTCAGATTTGTGAAATGTTGAGTTACAAAAAAATATGCCTTGGTTTCAAACCTGTCAGATTAACCCACGTCCCCATGAAATCCCCATGGGCAGATTTCTCCGTGATTTTTGCGACCTTCATAAACGTTTCAGTACTTTTATCGATTGCAAACCTTCCACGTCACGAATACGGTCTCCTCTTCCCCACAGGTCCGCTTTTGAGGAAGTTATGGTCCTTAAAAGACACCTCCCTCAGCTGGAAATTCTCGCTCCATGGCTAAAATTGCCGAATAATCTCCAGTCGCAGCTGCAATTACATACGCATTCTGCTACCGTACTCCACATATCGGGGTAATGCATTTTTAGCGCATTTCTTTTTTGTTTTTTTTCTGTTATGCCGCTTTTGTTTTTTCGTTTTAGTCATAGTCTCATTTAACTCGCATTTATGCTGTGTTTATGCTACTCATCCTGTTTTTGATTACAAACGCTTGCACATAAGTAAATCAACTCAACTTCGGCTAGGACTGTTATATCTTATTTTATATCTATTGTTTATATCTTAATTTCAGAAGTATGATTTAAACGTCAGCACCAGTAAAAAAAAGGGGCGTCGTACAAACCCCCAAAAAAAGGGGGGGGGCGGGGTCGTACAGCCGCGTACCAAAAATCCCCCATTCAATTGCTGTGCCCTGCTCGGAATAGATGTAGAGCGTTGCAGGAAATCTAGTTAACGAAATTTTTCTCGTTGTACACGTGTATTTAACCCTCGCTCGCGGTAAAAGTTCCTTGGGTTGGAAAACTGGGGAGAATGTTATGAAATTTTTGGAAAAAACTGGTAGGAAGCTGGTGAAAACTTGCTAGCAGAAAGTGGAGCCTCTCGTGCGAGGAAGGGAGGCGAGGCGGTGCGTACCAGACCTTCTAGGTGCGGGGCAGGCGCGTCCTTACCTTGAAAAGAAGAATTCACGACGCCTACATGTCGCGGAACCTAGCGTTTGGCGCTACTGCCGCGCAAAAAACTAGGACCGTTAGCTGCATAGCCATGCTGAACATAGCTACAGCACTAGTTTTTTCCCGTATGAGTGGTAAGGGCGACAGTTGGCGCGGCTCCAGCCCGTTTCCTTTCTCGCTTTTTTCTTTTGAAAAACGACAAAGACTGCGTACATATGCATTCGTATTCAGTCGTTTCTCACCCTTTTGTCCCTTAACCGCTTGAACACAGCTGGAAAGCGGATTTGCAGCGCTCCAAAACCAGCCTCGCTGACACGTCCTATCCTCCTTAGCGAACAAGACTGTATGCCTGTTCTTCTTGGTGCGAATGACGCGTATGCGAAACCGCTAACAGCACTATTTCTGCCTTTGTCACCGCAATGTAGACTTCTTTTCCTGACCCGAGGGCATTTCATTCAGTTTGTTTCCTCTTCAAGGTAGGCAAAGCTAACTGGCTCCCAAAACTCACGTGTTCAGTCGAATAACAAGAGGTTTCTCGCCAAGGTTGATGGTGACCTTTGGTTGACCGTACTCGATTTCCACGGCGATATAGTCATCAGTAGGAACGGCGCGAGTACCAGCAGATCCTTCTTCGTTACCGAAGAACAATGGGATACCTGTAATCAGCTATTAGAATCGTGTAAAAGGAACTTGAGGGCAGATATAGTTCGGAAGGTAAGCAACATAGCAAAGGGCGCAGTTCGACGATGGGGGGGCATTTTTGCACTTTTGATACTTCCTATCGACGTGTGGTCCCATCTAGACAGCCTTCCTCTCAAGTTTAATAGGTTTTACTATGATGGCTTGACGAGCTTGCTCCAGCTCCACAAGAGTTCACAGGTTTCACCAGAGTGAGACTTGTAAACCAGAACTAGTGAAGCAACGAAAGTGCAAAATGCCCCCCCCCCCCCGTCGCCGAAGTGCACCCATAGCGGCGTGAATAGGCAACGCAATGCTTGCTTTTCTTGTCTTGCCATGCATTTCGAAGTTTTACAATGAATATTGCGCAAATTCCTTCTCTATAACAGAGCGCAGACAGGCAGACATGAGGAAGCATGGTCGCGCGAAGGATTTCTCACAAGGCCAACCGTTCCTTTATGGCCAGCGGTAATGTTCAGAGTGACTGCTCTAGAAGTAAAACCGATTGGGGGGAGGGATCTAGAGGGTCTAAGCAAGCGAAAACCTACCGTGTTCCTTGGCTGTACGGAAATGGAAGGAAATATCCGTGTGAGCGGCGGATCGTGCAACACGGTGCGGCATCGCCAAGTCCAATGAGCTGCCTTGTTCGAAGTGAGCGCCGAGTTTAATCTGAATCAGTCCGAGTTTAGAAGCAGCGCTTGGAAAAATACGAAAAGCTTCAGAAACTTTTAAAGCTTACTCTATTCGCAGCATCTCTGGCGACAGCGATCTGCTCCTTGAGGGCAGCGATCTTGTCGACACATGCCTCCACCTTAGCCGTCCTGTTCGTTGCACTGTTGTGCATGTTGTCGTATGATTCCATCAGTTTTGGAACCAGGACAGAAAGCTGAAATAGCAGGGGGTCCAGATGAAATACCTCATTACTCACTTACACAATGACAACCCCTAGAAAAACCAGATAATCAGATGTAATGAATAGACAAAAAAGAGGTGGTCCGCTCTGCCTTCTCTCAGACAAGCTACCGTGAGAATGTCAGAATCGTCAGATGCCCACAGGCTGGTTAGAGGTGACAATGGACATTACGTAATGGTTGGTTCAAACTTTCCCTAAATCAACTTAGGCAAGTTTGGAGCTTAAGAGCATTCACTTTCTCAAGCTCAGCAAGCTCACTCTCCGGGGAATCCAATCCATATGATCAGCTCGAGGGGACAGGGAACTGAACTGGTGAACTACTTCACCTTTCAGTAAACATAAACTTTTGCCACATTGCCCAAGCTGCCCTACCAAGCTTTTTGATGCCGCATTCCACATCGTTAAGGGGATAGGGCGGAGACCCACGACCGATAGGTCTCCACCCCTTCAATTATCGCCCATTTCTTTATTGGTATGTCTCTCGCTCTGTCGTGTCAAGCATGATGTGTATGTGCTAATCTAGAAGACACACTGAGGCCCCGCCCATCAAATCGCGCAGAATGCGACTTTGAGGCACAAGCAGAAACAGTGAGAGTACCTCTTTGACGTTACTTCTCGTCTTTTTGATCCCCTGCAGAGCATCGGTAGCTTCAGAGACGGCTTTATCTGTAGCATTCTTTAGTTCCGCTAGGCTATCTCGAGCTGAGGCTAGTACCTTAAACGATTCAATAAGAAGCACGTTGAAGTGGCAGTACTCACAAGAATGACCACCTTGTCCGAATCGGCAAGTAGGCTAGTCACATGATCAGCCGATTTGTCCACATCTGCGAATGTGGTCTCGTTCAATGGCGATACTAACGACGCACGAATACCCTCGACATTACGGCGCATTCCATCAACCATTGTAGTTAGCTGAAAATGAGGACATCTTTGCTTTCTTGTTCTACCTGCGCAGCCATCCTTGAAGCACAGTACATGTTGGACAAGTGGGCGGAGCTGGGCCTGGCGCCGTGCCTTGCTCACTGATGCGGTCTTCGTATTTGTTTAATCAGAAAGAAGGAGACCATCAATGAAGAATACACAATGGTAGGCCTGGCTCCGCCCCCACAATCAGCGCGGGCTGTCTTTGAGCAGCTAATCTAACAATGAACAGCGAAAAAACGATTGCCATTCTTAACGATGCGTGGTAACCAACCCGATCAATTCTGTTGTCAGTCTCGGCAGCTTCTTTCTTCAACATGTTCAGCGTATTCTGCTGCAGATTCGAAGCTTGACGAACCAGTGTGGCCGAGCCGTTCAGAGCCTGTTTCACCTGGTCTTTCTGAAAATTGATTTTCAAATAGCAACTGTGCGAAAAAGTCTTACACCATCACGTTACCCCTTTTTGCCCTGTCTTACATGATTTCTGGGCATGTCGTTACCTTGTTCCCGCCACCCCTCCCTCTTTCCACCTCTTCCACTCTTCATTGCAAAGGATCGGCAGGTGGTGACCTCCATCTTGCAATGCAGGAAATTGCCTTGGAAAGGTAGCGTCAGCCCGCAGTTGCATAGCCTTGTCGTAGCTTACGCTGGGAAGAAGAGTGGTAAAGTAAAGGAGCTGAGCGCAAAAATGCTCCGGTGATCCACTTTCCACCGTGACTCCGCCCCATCCAGACTTTACCTAGAATGCCGCCCTGAACGAAGGAGCCATGCTACAGGAGAGCAGTATGGGAACGAACGTCACCCCTCTTTTCGGGGGGTCGTGGGCTCAGCGCAAAAACATCAGCGTTTCCGTCTCATCCCAACACACCATTCACTACCTTTTACTGGAAAAGGCCGGGTTACTGAAGGCATTTCCGACGTTCTCTCTTGCATTTTATTTTCCTTAACAAGTCCCTGTGTAACTTTTCTTTCCTATTTCAAATTGGCTACGCTTTCCGTCACATACCGTGTCCGAGCGTTCCCAGTCTTTCTGACTCCACACCCCCCCCCCTTTTACCAACCCAGAAACCTCCCCTGTCAGAGCCCTAATACCTGCTCTGCTAACAGTACCCGCGACGTCCCCATTCCGGACCTTCATAGGTGTGTAAAGCCCACATACAAGTGGTCAGGCATCCCACTAAAAGCATTGCCGATGGCATACACTTCTGAGCTTGGGAAAGGGAAATGCAATAATCTGAGTAAAAATGTGTAAGGAAAAGTAGCTGAAGTTGCTTCCAGGGCGAAGGGAAAATTGAGTCTGAAGAGAAAAGGAACTAAAATTCACCTGTTCTTGCAAACCTTTGCCCAGTTCAGCCATCTCATCTTTTGCCCACTGTGTCTTTTCTTGTGCGTTCTTCAGCGAGTCGGTGATATTGCTATAGGCGGTAGCAGCTTCAACGGCGTTCTTAAGAACAACGGTCAGCAATGAAAGTTTGTAAAAGGCCTCGAAAGTGCGCCGCGCATGATGCTCTTATCCAGAAAACAAAAGCGACTGTTCAGTAGGTGCATTTGCTTTCTAGAGAAGAGCGAAAAAGGCAGCTAAACAGCAAGCTAGTGCGTTGCCTACGCAGGATTGAATCCAAAGGTCGCGCAAACGAACCTGAGACTCAAGTTGAGCTGAACCAAAGTTGTGCTTCAGTTGCGAGGCCTCGGCTTCCAATTCTCTAGTTCTGGCTTCCAACGCCACCTGATCATAGGTCACATCACGCTTCTCCCGTTTCGGCTCAACGGTCTCGGCAAGTTCGGCTCGAACTTCGGCTAAGTTTGTTAGGGAATTCCCCACTGATTCCAGAGCGTCCTTTGCTTGTTCGGTAAGGTTTTTGACCTAGAATTTTTCAATTAGCGGGCGAATTAATGGTTCTATAGTAGCACTCACTTCCAGCAGTACACCACTGACGACGCCGTGTTCCTCGATAGCTTTATCACGACCATCGGTCAGGGCTTTTGCAAGACCCTCAAGTTTCAATGTGGACACGCCAATGGCAGCCTGAATAAGAGAAGATTACACATTTGTCCAAGCCTTTCGAGCCCCTTTCGACCTGACGCCCAACTTCCCCCTTCGAACCACCGGCCCCTTCCATTCCTAAAAAACTCATTGACGAAGGGTAGGGTATACTGTCTTGTTCGCTGCGGATCTGAGGTGTACAAAGAAAAGGATCTGCGCGGCGCCTCAGCTGCTGAAGAGAGCAAGCGACAAAAAACGGTGGTAAGCGGATTGGCGCCGCGCCAAACCCAGCCATTCTGATGATGCTCCGCAGCGAACAACGCAAATT